CCCCCCCCCTCTCGCGTGTACAACGGTACCTGTGTGCTGCACACCACAACGACTTACGGTGTGCCACACTTGTGTCCCGACATTTCTTCCTCAGCAACGTAATGTTGAGCTCTCCAGTGTCTGCGTGTGATAGGTTTCGCCTGACACGCTGGGTGAGAGGGGAAGGACGAGTAAGAAATGACGAAGCAGAAGGAGTGGCACTGGGGAAACCTTTGCAAGACGCACCATCGTGCTATCCGCCAACGCGCACAGACTACTGACGACAATTGCATATCCCACCCCGAGTGCGAGTTCGGAGCTCTATTGCCACGGCAACTTGCTTGTCGCATCAAAAGCGTAACGTGGAGTCCCTCTTGTGTCGTCCGTATTCGCCTTGTCGATGGTGATTCACCTTTTTTCGTCTTGGCTCTAAACGTTTTCATCTCCCCCACCCCCCCCGCCCTGCGCGTCACCTCTCTGTTTCTACGTGCTTCATTTCATCAACTGTCATTTCTCGCAGCGAACCGGAGAAGGGCGACCCCATGATCGACCGCACCCCCCTCGGCCGTTTCGCGGAGCCCTGGGAGATGGCACACGGCGTGGTGTACCTTGTCAGCCCGTCCTCCAGCCAAATGTGCGGGCAGATGCTCCTCCTCGACGGTGGCATCACCACCACCGGAACTCCCTGCGGAACGTAATCGCCCAAACCGACGGTGTCGATATCAGAAGAAGGGGTCGTGCCGCTTAGATGTGTCTTATTAACGTGTGGTGGTACATGGGTGCTTATTTTGTCTCACAGCGGTGTTGAATACAAATGCGCTCGCTGTTGACGTGTGTACATCAACCATCTCTGTCGTGGTCACTGCGGTGCCATCGTGTAGCCTGAGGTGCGTTGGGTGTTTCCCTTGCGTGTGAAACATTAGGAACTTGACGTATCGTGTGTTTGGCATGCGCTCTAGGCGTCGCTTGTGTGTTTGCAGATTGCTCATTTGCCGGCTGGTGTGTACGTGCCCATCAGGGGTAGATGGTAGGACAGGAGCGAGCGGAACAATATCCTCCGAAAGGTGTTGAAACGACTCAGGTTGCAAAACGATCTACTGCTCTAGGCCGTGTGGTGATGAACTTGAGCTCACCCCCGTACCAGGGCCACATGATATCGATCTTCCTTTTTCGTTTCGGCGTTGTTCCTGACGTGGCGGCGGTTTTTCGGCGTGACACCAAGGACGACTTCTCCCTTCGCATTGGATCTGGACGGCATGTATTGAGGCGGAGTTCGACGTTCAGATCGTTCTCTCTTTATTTGCTGTCGCGTATCTCTCGATGGTCGAGATGAATACCCAAATGCCAGTGGTCGTGAAATGGAAGAACCAAGACGTGTTCACAAGCTCAGCTAGTAGTGTGATACCGACCGTGAGAGTGCTGAGCCGTGTTCGACCGTGCAAGGAGCGAGATCCGTGCAAAGCCCGATACACAATGTACAGAAGCACTTGGATGAAGCGTGGTCGTAGATGACGAGGAAGAGGTTTACTTCGTCCGTCGTATAAAACACAAGAGCACATGAACGAACAGTCTAATTCAACGCGGGCCTCACTTCAGCGAGGCTAGGAAATTCTCGATGCACAGCTACGTGCCCTGCGCACACACCTCAATAATGTTGCCCCACTTTCTCTCCCAAGATCAGGACTGCATGAAGAATTGAGGCCCGCATCGTTACTATAGACGCCCTGTATACAACAAACAGCACACACTCTCTGCCATCGCTGGTGTGTGTCTTCAAATCGTGCATAATGACCCCAGTATAGAAACATACCCTCTTTCCCCCGAATCTTCTCTCACGATTGGGTGCCTAACCCCAAGATACACCTAACGACGTCAGTAGAATTCACGTTCCCCCGGCACAGTATATCAAACAACTTGGAGTGTTCCTCTTCGCTAAATCCCGGGTTTCCCCATGTCAACGCTAAAACCCGTTTGGGCTGTTTATTTCCAGTTGGACCATTTTAAATCCAGTTGGGCAATTACGCCGCATGTCCAACCGGAAAAATCGACCGGCTTTTATTTTGCGACCTGCTGGTTTTTACAGCTGGAAAAACACGGAGGGCTTTTTTTTCCAGTTGGACCACACGAACCGGCACACATCAAGCACACACCTGTTGCGTGCAAGACAGAGCAGCGGCGACTGGGGTGTCTTGCAAAACAGCGGGCGTAGGGTTGTTTTGGGCGGGGTGTGATCGCAAGGGAGTCCCTGCGGTGCGTACCTTGTCTTTGTTGGCGGGCCAAAAGAAGAGCCCAGGTTGCACCAAAATCTTTTGCCGCGCACGGGGAGCAGGAAGGCCTTGGCTGGAAGGAGGTTAAGCAGCGCGCTCCCGCGTGCGGGCGCGCGAGTCCTGCCGCGCGCGAGGGGCTCCTTGTGAGAGGAGGAGTGTCAAGTTGCCACGGGGAGGTAGTGATCGCATGGACAGCAGCAGTGGCTCCGGAGAAGAGAGCGAGTCAGGGAGCAACTCGAGCTTGGAGGTGGTGGAGGTGAGATCTGGGTCCCGCAGCCACCCGCCGTCTCTGTCGCGGCATCGACTAGGAGACTGGCAAGGAGACCGCGACGCCACATCCTCGTTAGAGGGTAGCGAAGCGGCGGGTGGGTTGTCGTCGGAGGACAGCAATAGCGACGAGTCGTCGGGCTTGTCAGGTGTTGGAAAGATGGGGCTGGGCAGTCGCGCGTCCCCTCGTTCATCGCGTCGCCCTCGCGAAGATGGGGGAGCGGACGGCCTCTCGTCTCCTGAGAGTCAATCGTCGGCTAGCTCCAGTTTGGGTGCTACCCCTTCTCCTCGCAGGTCCAACCGGAGGTTGTCGCCTCGGCGTCGCAACACCGAAGACGGCTACCTGGACCTGATCGGAGGGCGTGCGGTGCAGCAGGGCGGGAAGGAGACTAAAGGAGGGAGTGGTGCTTCGTTCACTTCGCCCCTCAACCTTGCGTCGAGTCAGGAGGAGGGCGGCACCGGCGAAGGGGGGGGAGACGATGGGCAGCAGGCTGGGCCCAGTGTTTCGGGGGGCGACGAAGAAGGCGGTCCCAGGGTTGGGGCGAAGAAGACGAAGAGCAGGAGCAAGACGAAGGGCAAGGGCAGCGCTCGACTCGAAGGTGTGTATGTGTTTCGAGAAACAGAAGACGTTAGTTGTCACATGCAACGCGCAGCGCCTGTCTGTGTGTCAATGGTCTCGCGTATATTTTGTGTTGTGATTACTACTACCTACTATAGACTATCTCTAGGGTTATCGCACGCAGATTTGTGCTGTAGCTGCCCAACAGGAGGGGCAAAAGCAGTATTGTGATCGTCCTCGTGATTGTCCTTCGTTTGTAGGGGCAAACGTATCCCCTGAAATAGGCCCTTCAACTACGATTGCTGTACAACATACAGTCACTACAGCAGCTGCTGTTTTGTTATCGCCGGGCGACCGAACCTTGCGCCGCGCGGATCAAGTGTCCTCGCTGCATTCTCTCACATGCCTTTTCACGAGTCCTGCTCGGCTTTTCTGCTCCCTACTACAGCAGCAGTGCTTGAGAGGAGATTCCCGCGCAACACAAAGAAGAGCAAAAAAATAAGCATAACTGCTGCATGCTGCTGCTGTTGCTGCTGCTGCTGCTGTATAGTTTCGCAACTCCGTGGACTACTCACGTGTACGACAGCAGTAGCGCACGCAAAAGTCACGGCACGCAAGAACAGCTGATCTATTCATCACATCATCAGTCGTAGCCGCACAGGGAGGGGAAGGCGCCGTCGTCATCATCAACACAGCACCGAGCGATAGGAGTGCGCTGTCTCTTGCGCGGATCGAGCACACCATACGTGTGCGCTGCAATGTCATGTTTGCTGACTCTGTGTGTGTGCGCGCGTCCGGCGCACACACCAGCGGCCGCTCGGGCTTTGGGAAACGCGACACACCCTCCAATCCACTCTCCGTGCACCTTCATGGTGTTCGCAAGCTTAACCTAGGGTGGCTCTTCGGTTGTTTGCGCGCGCAGTTCGACACGATTACCTACGAAAATCCTATTCCAACACGAAAACATACGGAAAGACAACACATAGTTGCCCAATTGAAGTGACAACACCGTCAAGTCGCCTTTTCCGAGTAATTTTGCTGTTGGAGCACCTGTCCCGGCCTCGGTGGGTCTTTGTTTTTTTT